AATAGAATAGAATAGAATAGAATAGAATAGAATAGAATAGAATAGAAAATAGAATAGAATAGAAAATAGAATAGAATAGAAAATAGAATAGAATAGAACATACACATTCATTAATATATAATATCATTTTGTGATTCAACTGAGGGTGAATTGTTTTTATTGAAATTATGTATTTCAGTCTTCATTTATTTTAATGAAAAGAAGTGTACCTAATGATTATTTGCTAAACCTAAGTTACAATTTATTTCTTTTACCATTTTTTGTATACATTTTTTATTTTTTTTTAGTGTAAAACATAAAAATTCAATATCTATATAAACAGTGTGCTGTCGGAGTACGATTGAGTTTGAGATATACAGTAGTGTTGGAAATAGTAAAAATAATATTCTTAACATCAGTAATGATCACATGATAATAGTAATGTTTACTTATCCATTTTAGTAAATCTTCATTGTAATTGATCCTTCCTTTATACTTTTAGGTTTCTAACTTCTGTTTCTACTTATTAGCTATTGACAAAACAAATCCCATGTTAAAAATATTCTTGGAGACTTATTTGCTCCTTCCTGCCAGCCATGTCCCCATTAGAACTCTTACAAGAACCCACAATATCCATTTCTGCACATTCTAATTTTTTTAATTACAAATTCATCTATAGGAATCTCCTCATTTTTCCATTGTTGTCCAAACACAATTCTGGCTGCTCTCATTGAAGTGAGAAAGAATCAGTCACTGATTCTTAAACAGTTTAAAATAAATGTTTATTTCTTCCACAGTTCCTATATGACTAAAGAGTTTGCCAGGAAAAGTATGTGTGGAAAGTCAGAGGCAAAATATCCAAGCTACATGGTTCTTAAATTTTGATAACTTCTGTTTGGAGTTTCCCCTCTCTCTCTTTTAAAAGGTTTTGCCATCTCTTGTTACTGCGTGAGAACGTATTCTAAATAGGCAAGTCAGTTATAGTTGGCAAACACTAATGTTTGTTTCTGCTGAGCCTTCAGAACAAGTTTTCCAGCCACCCTGTTTGTCTCCATCCCCTAGGATGATTCATATCAAAATCATCCTTGCTTGATAACATATCATGTTCTCAAACCTTTTGCAGATGAAAACTATGTCTGTTTCACCAGGCATGAGCCAGTGGGAGTCTGCGGAGCCATAACACCAGTGAGTAAGAAATTTTGGATTCTAGTTTCTGTGTGGGTGCTAAGGATGGAGAGAAAAAAAATATTATCTGGATGGTCTCTAAAATCCCCTTCTTTCCTTCGATAATTAAGGTCAAGAAAAGGATTCTAGAGTAATTAGAAATCAGAGGTGTCCATGAACTCACCAAGAGTTGAGCATGATTTCAGAGAGACTTCAAGACTACTTCTACAATGCCTGGTTTACCCCAAGAATTTGGTCTCTCTAAGATTGAGCTATTCCTGTGCCAAATGTTACCCAGTGACTGCCCAAATATTAATAGGACATTTGGAGCTACAATGGGACTTTACGGCTTGTAAAATATCACCAGGCCATCCTAAAATGTCTCACTGCACACAAACCATTGTCACATGACTGCATTTGGGTGCTTGGCAACCAGCTCACATTTAAGTCCGGTTGCAAGGTCCCATGGTCATGTGACCATGATTGGGATTTTTTTTTAAAAAATGCTTTCTGATGTGTTTCACCAGTTTTGGCGGGAAAAACGCCCCTTTGTGAGAATGGATTCAGCTTATGAACACGTGATTTGCTAAATTACCGCTATAAAAATGGCCCCCAAAATTGGGTCCAGTCCAGTGGTGGGATTCAATTTTTTTTACTATAGGTTCTGTGGGTGTGGCCGGGTGGGCATGGCGTGGCCATGGTGGGCGTGACAGGGGAAGGATATTGCAAAGTCTCCATTCCCTCCCCACCCCACTAACCTGCTTTCCAGCTCTGTTCTCCTGTGCAGGGCAACAAAAAAAGAGCCAGCCAATCAGCTGGGACTCGGGAGGCAGAGAATAGATGGGAGCAGGGCCAGTCAGAGGTGGCATTTGCCGGTTCTCCAAACTACTCAAAATTTCCGCTACTGGTTCTCCAGAACTGGTCAAAACCTGCTGAATGCCACTTCTGGTCCAGTCACATGAGTGCCCCGACTAACCATGATCATGATTTATGACCTAAATTTCAGTCCCAATGGCAGTTGCAAATCGAGGGCTAACTGTAGAGCAGGATTGCTATCGGAAGGCAGGAGGGAATCCAAAATTGCTCTCCGTGGTTATGCAGCAACGTGAAAAGGCCATCGCTTGCTTTATTCTGCTTTAGTGATTTCTGGTTTCAAGCCACGTTCAGGCTTCTGAAGGTTGAAGGCATCACCTTCAAGCCAGCTTTAGAAGGTCTGATCCTGGGGTTGCGAAAACTCCATTGGAAGAGAATATTTTAGCGGTGAATTGTCCATGCACGTGTTGGAAGAAATGTCCATCTGGGTTCAGTTCCAAGTGGGGAGAAAGACACTGGAAATATGGAGGCTGATTGGAGAGAGGGTTTATTGGTGAACAGGACTATGTGGGTTTGGGGTCTTGGGTAGCTGATCACATGGAGTGGAGAGTGAGTGTTATTTATGCCCTCTCTTGGGCTTTGAACGTGAGCTTCCTGTTCCTATGGCAAGGGCATGTTTTCTATTGGCTGTCAGACTCCCAGGGAGCTATGCGGGGGGGTCACAGCTGAGGTTGTCTGAATTAAGGTTGGTTGGACCTTGCTGGGCGAGGCTATGAAGGGCAATTCCTATTGTGGCTGAATGGCTTTGCCCTGAAGGACAATCCCATCATCCTGGAGCTGAAGCTCTTTTGTCTTGTAGATAAGCTGGCACCAAAATCTCTACTGGGGGCAGGCAGCTGGGGCTGAGTTTCTGTCTCCAAGAGCATGTTTCTCAATTTCTCATTCAGGGAAATACAATATTCTGGCCTTTTTAATATTTCCTAAAATATTTCATTCTTCTAGTAGCGGGGTGGCTGATAACTTTCTACACACGCTATCCACCCTAGTTTACAAATCCCAGGATCTAGGTTCAGCCACCATGCTAAGAGAAAAAACAAGCGACGTCGCATTTCACCCAGCCTGTATTTAGAGTAATTTAACTAGACCCCACCAGCACAAACTGCCCATGTTTTGGTGTTGCAATAGACATGTCCTAGTTGGACTTCTCTTCCTTTGTGGGGGAAAGTTCCTGCATCCAGATCTGATGGAAATTATACAAAATATGTCCTAGGTCCAGAGGGCCTTGGTTTTCCCTTTGCCTTGATGAAAACTCCCAGTTAATTATGCCACAGCAGGAATGTTGGGTTGGTTGTGGTGCTCGTCTGTAGTTTATTTTACATAATGGTTAATCCCAGCGTATCATGGCCCATTCTGTTGATTGCCCTGCAGGGGAAGATTGCCGCTAGCAATTACCTCTCCTTAATCTACAGCAGGTATTTTCGTTGGCAGAAAATGATTTGTAACTAGGCTGAGAATGTTTACACAGCTGTCAGAATAAAATACCACTCTGGGGTATTTCCTTACCACTGCTGGGATTTAGCCAGCATCGCATAAAACTCTGACGAGATACGGTATCTGATCTCTCCAGGAAAATAAAAACAAAGCCCATTTTATCTAGGCAAAAAAAAAGATTCCACCGATAGGAGAAGTTTAGAAGATGTTACAGACAATCCAGTACATTCAGAACAGTTTGCTACGTCTTAACAGGAATGCTGGGACCCCCCTCTGGTTTCTAGTTGAGAACTTTCTTAATTAGATTTAGAATTAGAGTGGCTGTGTGTCCCAAAGGTGCTTTGTCAAGAGGCAACTGGTTTTTCTTTGAAGACGTTTCGCTTCTCATCCTAGAAACTTCTTTGGCTCCGCAGCATCTTCTTAGATGAGAAGGGAAACATCTTCAAAGAAAAAAATAGAGTTGCCTCTTGAAAAAGCACCTTTGGGACAACCATGGCCTGGATGACTGAGAACCTCCATAGAGAAGTTGCTGTGCTTACGAGTTGCAGAGAGCTAGTTTGGTATGATGATTAAGGCAACAATCTAAAGCGCTGCACTCAAACCATGAAAGTGTGAGTTCTAGTCTTGCCTTAGGTACGAAGTCAGCTGGCTGACCTTGGGCCAGTCACTCTCTCTCAGTCCTAGGAAGAAGGACTGACTGACTCAAAATTACACATGGGCACATGTGTACACATGCCTACACAAAGACACACAGTTTCCAACATCATTCACCTTGTACATATTTTACTCAGAGGGGTACATGTCCTTGTTCTACAGGGAATACTTGGGGTGGATCTTCCCAACAAGCAAATACAAGTAGTCCTTACTCCCACAATTGAGCCTGAAATTTCTGTTGCTAAGTGAGACAGTTGTTAAGTGGATTTTGTCCCATTTTATTATCTTCCTTGCCATGGTTGTTAAATGAGTCTGGCTTCCCCATTCATTTTGCTTGTCAAAAGATTGCAAAAGCACAGCAACCATGTGAACCAGTTGCCAAGCATCTAAATATTGATCACCTGGCCATGGGGATGCTACAAAAGTTGTAAATGTGAAAAATGGTCCTAAGTCTCTTTTTTCAGTGCCTATGTAACTTGGAGCAGTCACTGAAAGAACTGCTGTAAGTCGAGGAACACCTGTAGTGTAAACTTTTATCAAAGAGTGTCATGCCCCATCAGAGTCTGAATCCAAGGAGGAAGACGAACAGTTGACAGGGAGTGGGAGTGTGGCTCCGTTGGCTGTGGTGGAGTCTGGGGAAGGGCAAAGTCTGGCTGGGCAGAGCAGGGAAGAGATAGAACAAGGGAGAGGGAATTCAGAGGAAGACCCAGCCCCCGCCACTTCATCCTAGGGCAAGCAGGGAGGAACAGAGAAGGGAGCAACGTGGGTTGCATGGCTTACGGGGGAGGAAAAGGCCCTGATTCTCTTCATTAGCCACACCTGGGAATGAAAGTTCATAAGAACTGAATGCTGGCTGCGGCAGCAGCTGGAAGCAAACGTGACTTTATCCTGTGTTGTCGTTGCTTATCTGTGTTCCTGGTGTCTTCCCAACCGTGTGAGTTTTGCCGTGCCTTCACATCTGGAATTCTTCCTCCTGCCCTGCCAAACTAATTACCTCAGTTTGGCTTGACTGGACTTAAAGTTACAGTTTTTGTTGACCAAGTTTTGGACTTGATTCTCTGCAGTTAAAGGCTGTTCCTGGGAGAGTTTTTCTCCAGCCAGAAGGTAATCTGGACATTGGGGGCAAAGTTAGAGCTAATAAAGGGACTCTTGTTGATTATCTGACTGTGTTGCCTTTGTGTCATCACCCACCCACCCGCCCAACAGAAAAGGTCAACCCTTTGTGAGTGTTTTTTAAATTGTCAGCTTGAATTTCATCTTCACCTCTCTTGGATGGTCAACATATTTATTTTATTAATGTATTAATTAAAAGTATGCTGAAATCATGGGATTCTTGATGACTTGCAGAATAAGGTAATAGAATAATGGTAGGGATACATAAGGCAATTAAAACCTAGAGACAACACACAGCATTAGAGCCCCAAACTCTATCTTTGACATTTTCTAGGAGGTAGATGATGTTGGAGACAGCCATATCTCCAGTGGGAGGGAATTCCGAATTTGTCCCATCATCAGAAAAACGATGCTGTTTCTCTGTCTCCTAGAAAAGGGGCAGTCAGCTGTTTCTCTAGGCACGATTGGAGTGGTTACTGGGGAAATGTGGTGTTGCAAGTCATGTGCACAAATCCACACAAACGTCTCTGGATTGACTGCGTTTAAGCAGAGCGCAATTCAATCACTGCCTTTTGAAATGACTTGGCCAACACATGCGGGACTGATTTTATTTTAGACCTTTTTTTTGGCTTCTCATAGTTTTCTTCCTGTGTACACGTGCCAGCACATAGCTGACTTTAGCTGGTTTTAAAAAAAGAAAGCCGGATTGGATCTGGTTAGTACTTGAGTGGGAGACCAACTTTGAAAAAAATAAAATAAATAAGGTAATTACAGAATTTTTTATAATGCTATTGAGAAAAGCATATGGCTTTGTCCAGGAAGTCACCTTTATGTCTGCTTAATCTTGACATAGCTTTCAACGGTAACTCTTCCCTGTTTTCAAAAAAATCTTTTTAAAAGGGAACTTTTTAAAAGGGATCTACGAGCTGAAATTTAGCAGCCGCTAGTTGTTTCTCCTCCAGTTATAGCTAAAAATCGGTGTACTCAGCCCCACAGTGACACTTAGAGATGGGATAAAGCATCGCACCATGATGAAAAGGATGCGCTCCTGTTATAACATGTAGCTCCTGTTCTTTAAAGGAAAATGTATAAATTGTACATTCTATTAACAACCATAGACAAGCATGTCATAAGAAGCATGGATATTAAACTGTAGAATATTTAACTTAAATACTAAATACTATTGATTGTGGTGGTTATTTAACTGAGTGGTGTGGAGGTGTAGAGACAATCTCCTCCCACTTGGAAGGTTGAGAGTTCAATCCTAGGTAGTAGCAGATCTTTATCTCCTAAGGCGCAAAGAAAAAATATTTGCTGTGAACTCAGGAAGGGCATCTGGCCAGTAAATGCTCAGCTCCATCCAGTTGTTCCAACTCAACCCCAAATTAAGGGATTGCAGGGTCATATGGTGGTTATTTAATTGACAGATGTGATTGTATCTGGACGTAACCATACTGTACTCCTCCAGCTCTTTAGGAAGACATCAAAAAGGGAATTGAAAGAATGATAGGGATGTCCTTCTTACCATCTCTGGGTCATGGTTGTTTGTTTCTGTACTGGAGACAAATCCCTTGTGTGTCTTGATCAAATAAAATATTCTTTCTTTCTTTTAGTGGAATTTTCCTTTGCTGATGCTGATCTGGAAGATGGCCCCAGCGTTGTGTTGTGGCAACACCTTAGTTGTGAAACCTGCTGAGCAGACACCCCTCACCTCCCTCCACCTGGGCTCTTTAGTCAAGGAGGTAAGTGGTACAAATAAATCAAAGAGTTAGAGCTGGGGGATAGAGAAGGGACCGTCCCTAATTTTCTGGAAGGTTAAAGGAAAGGAGAAACGCTTTAGCAAAATGAATATCAGCCTTTTGAGGTAGTGCAGACAAGAAGCAAAACCATAAATACTACTAACCCCACTTTTTTTACTGTAAGATTGCATTAACAGAATCTTGCAAGCTTGAAAGCCCTTCTCCTTTTTTTTAAACATTTACTTTCTAGAAAACTGGGGAGGGTCTTTTAGGTGTTTCCCACCCACCCCTTTTTCTTCTATGAGCCTAGATGCCTTTTTTGCATGATGGTAGTTCAGTTTGCAGCTTGCTTGCTCTCAAGATCATTCCCCACATACCTTTACAGATTCACAGACATTAATTTTTCTGATATATGCCTACTGAAAAGTAAATCTTACTGAGGCTTGGCACTCAGACAAATTGGCCATCAACAGGCACATAGAGATAAACAACAAGTACATACCAGTGGGATCCTACCTGTTCCACTACCGGTTTGGTGATCGCATGCGTGCAGCTTTCCCCACACCAGCTGAGGCCTGCGGCATCAATCAGCAGAGGACAAAGAAGAAAAAAGCACAAGAGCAGGTGGGAAGGCCAATCCTGCACTTTTCTCTTCTTTCTCCTCTTAGCTGATTGTCTGAGGCTTTGTTCCTCCTGTCAGCTGATAATGGGAAGTTTTCTTTTACTACCAATTCAGCCAAACCGGTAGCATTCCACCACTGGTACATACCATTCAAAAGAGATAATAAAAAAGCCTCTAAGAGAAAAAAGACCAAAAGACCTCCTCTCTAGCATTGGAGCAGAGATTAATACCAAGATTACTAGATACCAGTGGTGGTATTCAGCCGGTTCGCACCGGATCGGGTGAACTGGTAGCAAGAATTTGGCAGGGGTCGCCGAACCGGTAGTAAGTTCTGGATGGCCACGTCCCTTACCCGGTCACCCTCCCGCCCGATGCTCGCTCACCCCGCCTCCTGCCTGACATTCGCCTAAGGTGTTGCTTTTTTCTCCTCCCGATAATCAGCTGTAGATAAGATCAGCTTTGCTGGGATTCCCCTTGCTGAGGCCCAGGAAGGCAAAAAATGCAGGGAGGAGCTGATCCCCACCTCCATTTTTTGCCTTCCAGAGCCCCAGAGGAGCCTTAGGGGAGCAAAAATGCCCCCCAGAGGCTTCTCTGAGGCTAGGAAGTTCCCAAAACGGAGCTTGGAGGGGTGCTGTGTACCCCTCCCATGCTCTCTTCCTTTTCTTCCAGAGCCCTGAGGAGCCTTAGGGGAGCAAAAACACCCCCCCCAGATGCTCCTCTGTGGCTAAAGCTCCCCAAAATGGGTGGGGCTGCAAAAAAACCACACCCACGCAGTCACATGGCCACGCCCACCAAACCACACCCACAAAACCGGTAGTAAAAGTTTTTGAATCCCACCACTGCTAGATACCAGTTCACAAGTAAACAATATACCAATCAGGGAAGTACCAACACACACAAACAAATACTAAACAACACACACAAACAAGGAACCACTAAGAGCACTCCCACGATTAGGTCAATCCACTAGTATATAAAATAAGAGCAAACCCTGTTTGTGCTGTCCAGACAGTATATAGTTAATTGGGAATTGGGAGCTGTCCCCTTAAGGGAATGCCTCATGGGAAACGTAGTTAATGCATCATGGGAAATGTAGTTCATGTCATGTGGTCACATCTGTAATCCTGATTAGTCACTGAATTGACCCTTGGTTGGGTTGGGGGAGTTTCCTTTGTTCTTGCTCGGACCCCAGCATCGTGCTGGTGTCTTTCTCTTTGCTCCATCTTTATGGGATGAAGATAACTGTATTTTCACACTATGAAGACGACTATGCAAAGATTGAACATTAGATGAATCTCAACATAACTGTGAGTTATACCCTGAGGATGCTTATTACAATCTAATAAAGAAACTTTGTATGGAAGCCTTTGTAGAGCTTACCTGACTGTCTTTATATTCAGCCAAGAAAGTTAAAGACAGAACACTGTTCCCTTCTAGCACTGATGGGGTTACCTAGCTTGGTAATGAAACATCCGCAAGAAAACCGCCAATTTCAGAGAGCTACAAGGATGCAACAAATCCTTCTGAGTTCAGTAACAAAGTTCCAGATAACCAAATACAGCATTTCAAAAATGTTATAGTAGTTTTAGCAAATAGGTTTGTTGCCACATCCCCTTTGCTTCTGCCCCTTTCTTAACAGTTCTTTTTAGAGACATGCTGAGGTTCCCCCCTCCCCATTGCAACTCAAAACATGTTGTTCCTTTTCAGGCAGGATTCCCTCCAGGGGTACTGAACATTGTGCCAGGATATGGACCTACGGCAGGAGCTGCTCTTTCCATGCATCCCAAGGTTGACAAAATAGCTTTCACAGGCTCAACAGAGGTAGGTGATGGAAACATTTATAGTTTCACATCTCTTTTGCTCCTCTACAACCCATTGCTTGGATTGGATCTATTACTACACAAAAGATGTTGAGACTCTAGAAAAGGTGCAGAGAAGAGCAACCAAGACGATTAGAGGACTGGAGGCTAAAACATACGATGAACAGTTGCAGGAATTGGGCATGGCTAGTTTTGTGAAGAGAAGGACCAGGGGGACATGATAGCAGGGTTCCAATATTTGAGTGGCTGCTACAGAGAAGAGGGGGTCAAGCTATTTCTAAAGCCCCTGTAGGCCAGACAAGGAATAATGGATGGAAGCTGATCAAGGAGAGGTTTAACCTGGAAATAAAGAGAAACTTTCTGACAGTGAGAGCAATCAACCCATGGAACAGAAGTTGCCCTCGGAAGTTGTGGGAGCTTCATCACTGGAAGCTTTCAAGAAGAGACTGGACTGCCCATCTGTCAGAAATGGTGTAGGGTGTCCTGCTTGGGTGGGAGGTTGGATTAGATGACCTCCAAGGACCCTCCCAACTCTGTTAAATCTGTAAACGTAATCTACGAAACACTTCATTTTCCAGGAGAGCCACAAAAAATCCCTAGGCATATTTGCAAGTATTTCCAAATAGTCGGTTACAGATGGTTGCAATACAGTCAGAATCCTCACCTTTTTATGTTTAAGTCTTATAAAGAAACGACAAAGGTGGTAAATAAATCAAGTCTGTTGCTGTTAAAGAATAGGAAATCAGAAACCCACATGGGTCTGCTTTATGTCGCCAGAAACTCTACCTTATGGCTGTTTTGCATCAGGAGAGCCCATTTGGTCCATTCTTTCGCTCCTTATGGAGATAATCTTCTCCAAAATGTTTGGCATTGGATGCAGGAAGAGGTTACTCGCTCGTTAAGGCTCTGCTTAACTGAATTCACCTGTAGATAATCTGGCATATTGTTTTATTCAGGTTACCGGCTGTGGTGGGATTCAAATTTTTTTATTACAGGTTTTGTGGACGTGGCTTGGTGGGTGTGGCTTGGTGGACGTGGCAGTGGAAGGACACTGTAAAATCTCCATTCCCTCCCCACTTCTGGGGGAAGGATACTGCAAAATCCCCATTCCCTCCCCACCCCACTAATCTGCTTTCCAGCTCCGTTCTCCTGTGCAGGGCAACCAAAGAAGACCCAGCCGATCACCTGGGACCCAATGGGAGGCAGAGAATGGGGGGGGGGGCGCAGTCAGAGGTGGGATTTGCCGGTTCTCCAAACTACTCAAAATTTCCGCTACCGGTTCTCCAGAACTGGACAGAACCTGCTGAATATACCACCTCTAGTTACCAGTATTTGGTTTTATTCAGGTTAAGCTAGGCTCAAAGAAGAGTGGACTCTCAAACGCCCTTTCCAGAAACCTCATCCACTCTCTGCTTTTACAGTGTTTGGAGTTTGAGGATTTAAAGTCCTTGCCAGCCTCCTGTCGGTTCCCACCTGTTTTGGTCAGTCTTGCACGCTTGAGATGCCTGCCTGTAATTATGAGAAATTGCTGTCAGCACCAAAGGTTTCGCAAATGCCTTTTGGTTGGGAATCTTCGCATGTAGCAGCACCATCTAATGGTTGAAACTTTGATTGTTGCAAAAGAGGGTGTTTCTTTCTTTCTTTCTTCCCTGTTTCTGGAGTGTTGATTGTGAGGGTTTCTCAGGGCAAATATTAGATGGCAAGCCAATGTCCTGGATCTGGCTGAGAGGCCAGGGATGGGGTTCATGGTCTAATATGAATACCTGAATTGACACGGACATGTTTGGACCTAGGGTGGCTAAGGATGTTTGCAAATTTTCCTCTCTCCCTCCTTCCCTTCCCTTCCTTCCTTCCCTCCCTCCCTCCCTTCCTTCCTTCTCTGGCATATCTCCCATGGGAGAACCTTTCCCTTTCCTTTTCCCTTCCCTTCCCTTTTTCCTTTCCTTCTTTCCTTTCCTTTCCTTTCCTTCTTTCCTTTCCTTTCCTTCTTTCCTTTCCTTTCCCTTCCCTTCCCTTTTCCCTTCCTTTTGTCCTTTCCTTCTTTCCTTTCCTTCTTTCCTTTCCTTTCATTTCCTTCATTTTTTCCTTTCCTTCTTTCCTTTCCCTTTCCTTTCCCCTTTCCTTTCCTTTCCCTTCCCTTTTTCCTTTCCTTCTTTCCTTTCCTTTCCTTCCATTTCCTTCCTTTTTTCCTTTCCTTCTTTCCTTTCCCTTTCCTTTCTCCTTTCCTTCCTTTCCTTTCCTTTCCTTTCCCTTCCCTTTTCCCTTCCTTTTGTCCTTTCCTTCTTTCCTTTCCTTCTTTCCTTTCCTTTCCTTCCATTTCCTTCATTTTTTCCTTTCCTTCTTTCCTTTCCCTTTCCTTTCCCCTTCCCTTTCCCTTCCCTTTTTCCTTTCCTTCTTTCCTTTCCTTCTTTCCTTTCCTTTCCTTCCATTTCCTTCATTTTTTCCTTTCCTTCTTTCCTTTCCCTTTCCTTTCTCCTTTCCTTCCTTTCCTTTCCCTTTCCTTTCCTTCCTTTCCTTTCCCTTCCCTTCCCTTTTTCCTTTCCTTCTTTCCTTTCCTTCTTTCCTTTCCTTTCCTTCCATTTCCTTCCTTTTTTCCTTTCCTTCCTTTCCTTTCCTTTCCTTTCCTTTCCTTTCCTTTCCTTTCCTTTCCCTTTTTCCTTCCTTTTGTCCTTCTTTCCTTTCCTTCTTTCCTTTCCTTTCCTTCCATTTCCTTCCTTTTTTCCTTTCCTTCTTTCCTTTCTCTTTCCTTTCCCTTTTTCTCTCCTTTTTCCTTTCCTTTTTTCCTCTCCTTTCCTTTTGTTTCCTTCTTTCCTTTCCTTTCCTTTCCTTTCCTTTCCTTTCCTTTCCTTTCCTTTCCTTTCTTTTCCTTTCCTTTTTCCTTTCCTGCTAGCAAATTTCTAGCTAGCTCTTTCTCTGACTGAACAAAATATTTGAAACAAGGTTTTTCTCCTTTTTGTGGGGCAGAGGCTAAGAATCTCACAATTCCCACCTTCTCTTTTTTGGGGCACAGGTTGGAAAGCTGATCAAAGAAGCTGCTTCAAAAAGCAATCTCAAGAGGGTGACTCTGGAGCTGGGCGGGAAGAATCCTTGCATTGTCTGCGCAGATGCTGACTGTGAGTAGAATCTGATTTTTGGAAATTTCTGTTACCACTAGCATATGTTTCTCCTTGGTCTTTCAAGATAGCATGCAGAAGCTATGAAGCTGTATTGTTGGGGTGGGGAGGAGTTAATAGTGTGGACACGTGAAACAAGGAAGGGGAAAAAACCCTATGATTATTCAGACTTTAGAGTACTCTGTCAGTCTGTCTGTCTAATCTGTCTGTCTCTCTGTCTGTCTCTCCGTCTGTCCGTCCGTCCATCCATCCATCCATCCATCCATCATCTATCTATCATCTATCTATCATCTTTCTATCCATCCATTCGTCTATCTATCCATCCATCCATCCATCCATCCCATCCATCCATCCATCTATCTATCTATCTACCGTGTTTCTCATAAAATAAGGCTTTTTTTTGAGCCCCGAAAAAATGGCTAGGATGTCTTTTCAGGAGTGACTTAATTTCCTCCCCCACATGCACCCCAACCTAGAGTGCCTCATGCTCAGTCACCTCTCCACGAGGCCACTTCTATCGGCTGATGGAAGCTCCCCAAAAGCAGAGACACCAACCGCTTCTATCGGCCGGTAGAAGCGCCCTCGTGGAGAGTTGAGTGCACATGGGCCACTTTAGGTGGAGGTACGCGTGGGGGAGGAAATCTTATCAGCCAGTAGAAGCGGCCTCAGGGTGAGCGCCCACACGCACTCCCCTTGCCACGAAGCCATTTCTATCGGCTGATGGAAGCTCCCCAAAGGCAGAGTCACCAACCGCTTCTATCGGCTGGTAAAAGCGGGTTCGTGGCAAAGGGAGTGGCATGGGGCACTCGCCCTGAGGCTGCTTCTACTGGCCGATAGAAGCGGCTGGTGTTTCTGCCTTTGGGGAGCTTCCATCGGCCAATAGAAACGGCTTTGCGGTGAGGGGAGTGCATGTGAGCGTTTGCCCCAAGGCCGCTTCTACCGGCTGATAGAAATGGCTGGTGTCTCTGCCTTCAGGGAGCTTCCATTGGCCAATAGAAACAGCTTTGTGGTGAGGGGAGTGCACGTGGGCATTCGCCCCTAGGCCGCTTCTACCGGCTGATAGAAGTGGCTGGTGACTCTGCCTTTGGGGAGCTTCTATCGGCCGATGTTCTATCGGTAGTAGATTGGGGTATTCTACGTGCAGGGCGCTCCTAAAGGCAAGTTTTCTCCCCCCCCCTTGCCCCCTCATTTCTCTTCACCTCGTGTAGTTTTAACAAACGATGTGAGAAATGGCGGGGAAACGCATGGATTAAATAGGCCTAAATTTTGGGGGCGGAGCTTAATTTCACCTCATGCCTAGAAGTCATGCTGGGCCTTCCTATTGGTGGAGGCCGTATTGTTGGAGAAACACGGTATCATCTCTCACCTTTATTAGTTTTACAAATAACTCAAGGCAGAGAACATGTCCAAAACACCTTCCTCCTCCTATTGTCCCCACAACAACAACCCTGTGAGGTGGGTTGGGCTGAGAGAAGGCGACTTGGTCCAAAGTCACCCATCCAGTGTTTATGCCTAAGGTGGGACTAGAACTCACTGTCTCCCATTTTCTAACCAGGTGCCTTAATCACCAGTCCAAACTGGCTATGGTACTCTTTTGTGGCAAGTCTAGGATGGGGCTACGCTGCCTTAGAAGTTCAATCTAGGGATGCAGAAGATGTTGGTTCTCTTCACTACCTCTTACATAGGCAGTTCCCAAATTTTGTTTTGTGTTTTCTTTGGCACAAGGTGAAGTATGGTTGGAAAACCACATTTTTTTCCCTGAATTTTGCAATGTAGGTGTTCAGTCAAAGGCTCTCACACAAGTGTCCATGGAGATTCACAGTCATCCAGGTCATGGTTGTCCCAAAGGTGCTTTTTCAAGAGGCAACTGGACTTTCTGGAAAGTCTGGTTGCCTCTTGAAAAAGCATCTTTGGAACTGTTACATAACAATCCTTCTCAAAACTCTGAATGGAGGAGGTATTATGCTGCCTTCCAACTAGTATCGGTGCCCATCTAGTCCCTGCAATTTTCTTGGCAAGGTTTCAGAAGTAGTTTGTCATTGCTAAAGGAGAATGACTGACCCAAGGTTAACAGCTAGTTTTATGCATGAGGTGGGACTAGAACTCAGTTTTTCAGTTCTAGTCTGGTACCTTAACCACTACACCAGCATCTCCCAACCTCTGGGGCACCAGGGACTGGTTCTGTGGAGAGAGGTTGTTCCATGGACCGGAGGGAGCATGGTTTTGTGTGCTGCCTGCATCCCACGGATGGGGCTTCGCTTGTTTGTGCAACCCGATTTCTGGCATGCCACGACCCGGTGCTGGTCCGTAGACTTGGGGTTGGGAACCCCTGCACTACACCAAAATGCTTGTCTAAACTTGGACATGTTCCTACAATTTTCTAGCCAAATTTCCAAAAGTGGCTTGCCATTACCATCTTCCTGGGGCTGATAGAGAGAGACTGGACCAAGGTTATCCAGCTGGCTTTGTGCTGAAGAGCAGAACTACAACTCCCGGTCTCCTGGTTTCTAATTATAGCATTAACCCCTGTATCGAACTGGGTCTCCCATGGGAAAAATAGCTACCCTTTCTTCAAAGCTGTGCATCCAAATTGGGCTTGTAAAGACACCAATTAAAATGCTGGGGAAAGAGCGACCCGTATCAAGCGGTCTTGGTATAACACAGCTTCCTGTGCTAATATTTTTAACCTCTTTCTCTCTGATGTCTTTCCAGTGGACTTAGCTGTGGACTGTGCCCACCAGGGCGTCTTCTTCAACCAAGGTCAATGCTGCACAGCGGCTTCGCGTGTTTTTGTGGAAGAGCAGATCTACCCAGAATTTGTCAAACGCAGCGTGGAATATGCAAAGAAGCGACTTGTGGGAGACCCATTTGATTTCCAAACTGAGCAGGGCCCACAGGTATTATATTACCTTTGAAGAACTATCATGGCTAAGGTGGAACTAGAACTCACCGTCTCCTGGTGTTTGGTCCCCAAAGTCACCCAGCTGGCTTTTATGGCTAAACTGGGACTAGAATTCACAGTCTCCCAGTTTCTAGTCTAGTGCATAATCGTGTCTGATGTCCTAAGTCATCCAGCTGGCTTTTATGGCTAAGCTGGGACTAGAACTCACCATCTCCTGGTGAGTTCTAGTCCCAGCTTAACCAAAGTTAACCAGCTGGCTTTCATGGCTAAGGTGGAACTAGAACTCACTGTCTCCTGGTGTTTGGTGCCCAAAGTCACCCAGCTGACTTACATGGCTAAGGTGGGACTAGAATTCACAGTCTCCCAGTTTCTAGCCTAGTGCATAATCGTATTTGGTGCCCTAAGTCACCCAGCTGGCTTTCATGGCTAAGGTGGGATTAGAATTCACAGTCTCCTAGTTTCTAGCCTACTGCCTTAACCATTAGACCAAGCTGGCTCTCTTAAATATTATTAAATGTTAGATGTGTTATATTTTCCATGAGGAAGACTCTTAAAGCATGGATGAGAAATGAGCTGTGTGTCACGGTGTTAGCATCCATTTCTAGTTCTCATAAAAGTGGTGCAACTTGTATTTTTATTTTGATAGATCGATCAGCAGCAGTTTGACAAGATCTTGGACCTGATTGAAAGTGGGAAGAAAGAAGGTGCCAAGTTGGAGTGTGGTGGTTTAGCTATGGGCGATTGTGGCCTGTTCATCAAACCCACCATTTTTTCAGAAGTCACAGACAATATGCGAATTGCCAAAGAGGAGGTATTTATTTACCCGTGAAACAAAGTTATGTAACCTCACAACTCACACACAGCGACACGGTGATTGTAGACATATATTTGGGGTGGTTAACAAAGAACCCATTTTTGTTCATAATCGTGTCCATTCACCCTTAATAAAAAATAAAGAGGCACATGGATCAAAATAAAACGTTAGGTGTACCTCGCCTGGTGCTCTCCAAAATATTTTGGGACTTCAGTTCACATAATTTTGTTCTGCTACTACAACACAACTGAAGGACACCAGATGGGAACGTCACACAATATTTGGACAAATAGTTTGCAGAAGTTGGCTGAAAGGCAAAATTGACCATTTTGTTTAAAGAAAAGAATATAAGTACTTTGTTTCTACATGGAGGCTGCTTCTGAACTTTGTGTTAAAGTGGAAAAGAATGAAACTTTGATTTTGGATTGTACTGATGAGATTGATAGATCCTTATAGAAATGGCTTGTTCACATTATTATGAAAAAACAAAAAAGTTGTGATGTGATGTTAATGCCTTTTTTTTACTGCAACAGAGAGAATTGGAAGTCAGTTTTCTTTTTCTTTTCTTCTTTATCCTCCCTCACTTCTCTCCCCCCCTCTTTCCCTCTACCATTTTCTTACCAATATTTACCATTGTATTTTGTATCTTATTTTTCTTATAACCCAATAAAATGTTAAACATGGGAATGCAGCACGATGCGATTGCTGAATATCCTGATATGAAAGGAAGGTGCTTTAGGTTAACTCAATTTTTATTCATCTTCTGATGGCCGTGATTTTGATGTCAACAGATTTTTGGACCCGTGCAGCCCATAACAAAGTTTAAGAGCCTAGAAGAAGTCATACAGAGAGCCAATAATACAGAATATGGACTCACAGCTGCGGTGTTTACGAAGAACTTGGATAGAGCCTTGACATTAGCATCAGCACTACAATCTGGCACTGTCTGGTGAGTTGCTAATTTTTTTTTTCCTACAGAAAGTCGCTTTGTTAAGTAATTGCACTTCAATCTTCAGTTTGCTGGCATTGTAGATGGAGTATATAAGTCTATGTCCCCTCCTCCTTATCTTCTGACCTTAGAGTACAGTAAGCTGTTTTCATTTGCCTAGTTAATGCATGAAATGAATTAATACTAGTTAATACTTAGAAAGGGACGGGTGGCTCAGTGGCTAAGATGCTGAGCTTGTTGATCAGAAAGTTCGACAGTTCGGTGGTCCGAATCCCTAACGCCACGTAACGGAGTGAGCTCCTGTTACTTATCCCAGCTTCTGCCAACCTAGCAACTCAAAAGCATGTAAAAATGCAAGTAGAAAAATAGGGACCACCTTGGTGGGAAGGTAACAGCATTCCATGTGCCTTCGGCATTTAGTCATGCCGGCCACATGACCATGGAGACGTCTTCGGATAGTGCTGGCTTTTCAGCTTTGTAACGGAGATGAGCACTGTCTCCTAGAAATGGAAATGACTAGCACGTATGTGCAAGGGGAACCTTTACCTTTACCTTAATACTAGGGTTAACACAACAAGCTAAGTCACACTGTAGCTTGTTTGGCTGCGTCTATGTTGCCAGCTGTGATTCCTTCAGGAAAACATAGTTAAGCAAACCAAGGCTTAGCTTAGGGCAGGGGTCTGCAACCGTAAACACTCAAAGAGCCATTTGGACCCGTTTCCTACAAAAAAGAAAACACCGGGAGCCTCAAAACCTGGGTGGCCATGGCCAACTCAACATCACTCCCACCCAGTCACATGACCCCGACTCATGCCTACCCAGGTTTTGTGGCTTCTGGTGTTTTCTGTGCAAAATGGGTCTCTCTCCCTCCCTCTCATTTCTGTTTTTTATGTTTTACCTTCTCAGCCCAGGTGAGGAGTGACTGGGAGGGGAGGGTGAGAGGCAGGCCCAGCCAGTGGTGGGATCACCCAACAGGGAGCCACAGGCAGAGGGTCCAAAGGGCCACATGTGGCTCCAGAGCCGTGGGTGGCTGACACCTGGCTTAAGGTATAACCTCTTTCCAAACAATACAGCTGTCTTATTCATGTCTTTGTTTTCCACAGGATCAACTGCTACAACTCCTTCTTTGCACAGGCTCCCTTCGGTGGTTTTAAAATGTCAGGAAATGGCAGAGAACTGTAAGTCTGGTTTTGGTTTTTTGAAGAAAATTAAGTTGGAGAGTGGCAGGAACAAGAATTTAATTTTCCTTTGTCTTGACTTAGAGGGTTTTTTTGCCTTGTATCCCTGTGTTCCTTATTCCCCGTGTGCCTCTGGGCCTTGCAATTTGGATGAGCCGTTCATATGCAGATCTTCCCAAAGAATGCAAATTATTTCTCATTAAACCTGTACTTAGGCCCTAAGCCTACTATCCTTAGGGTGGCATTTTTATTTGTATCCCATCCTTCGTGTCACCCAGATAATATACAGAAAAATAACTGTTCCTAAAGATATAGTTTGAAAGCCAGTTTGGTTAAGTCACCAGGCTAGAAACTTGGTTAAGGCACCAGGCTAGAAGTCAAGTGGGGGAGCCAGTCCTTTTCTCTCAGCCCTAAGAAACAGACAGTGGCAATCCACTTTTCAAATTTGCCAAGAAAACTAAAGGTTTTTTTTAGATAGGCTTCAACAGAAGTCAAGATTCATTTGAAGTTTCTCTCTTTCTCTGTCTCTCTCTCCCCCCTGTCTCTCTCCCTCCCTCCCTCTCTCTTTCCCTCCCTCCCTCCCTCCCTCTCTCTTTCTCTCTCATACATACACACACACACACACACAATATTATTTATAATAGTAAAGGCAGGAAATACACATATTACCATAAAAATATTATATATTATTATTTACTTAATATTTATATAATTTATATGATTATTATCATATTATTCACCACAATAAAACCAGTTTAAAATATTCAGACTAATTTGCTGTTCTCCAAAGATCTAATATAACTAATATAACTAACAAACAGAAAAGTCTCTTCTTTGTCACCATATAAGGCATCAACAATACTTAGAGAAAAAAGTTGTTAAAGCACTTGCCCCAGATTGGACCCTTTCCAGGTTTATGAATTGGGGTTGTTAGATTTCCTTGTGAGCATAACCATTGCCAAGAATTCTGGGAGTTGACACCCACACATCTGGGGAACATCAGGGGGGAAACCAAGGAAAAGGAAGTTGATTTAGTGACGCACATGTTCCCCTAGGTGGGCTCCAAGGCATGTAGGAATTTTAAAGATAATCATATTTGGAGCTGGATGCACAAGCCAAGGTTTTTACAAAGATTTCCTACTCCCTACAAATTTAAATATAATTTGAATGTTCAAAAATTGTTCTTAGCCCAAAGGAGTCTTCTAAGGAATGCTGCTGAAAGTGTGCATTAGTGTGTAAACCTTCATGTAACTTGCGTACAGAGGTGGTATTCAGCAAGTTCTGATTAGTTCTGGAGAAATGGAAGTGGAAATTTTGAGTAGTTTGGAGTACCGGCAAAAACCACCTCCGACTGGCCCCGCCCCCATCTATTCTCTGCCCCCTGAGTCCCAGCTGATCGGCTGGGTCTTCTTTTGTTGCCTTGCACAGGATAACGGAGCTGGAAAGCAGGTTAATGGGGTGGGGAGGGGAGGGAATTTTGCAGTATCCTTCCCCTGCCACACCCACCAAGCCACACCATGCTCACCCAGCCACGCCCACAGAACCAGTAGTAAAAAAATTTGAATCCCACCACTGCTTGTGTACATGCATTTCAATGTCAGAGAATGGATCTTTGTGATTCCATCTTGTTCTGGAACAAAAAGTCAGATATGTGGATAGATTTTTTAAGAACACAACCATTATTTGACCCTCGGGTGTTATGAAAACAAAAGGAGTTGAAATATTGACACCAAGATAGTTTATTTTCTTCTTTGTTTTTGAAGGATTTTCATCTAAAGCCCATCTGTCTTTTCGTGTCATTTTTGGAAAGGTTACCATCTTATACTCCTGAATGACATTTAAGCCTAGTATGTTAAACAGATGTGGGAAGGGAAGTAAATATGGCGTGATTCTTTGGCATGCTGAAGTACTTGTATCTTCAATTCAAAATTTTTGTTCTTCTACAGAGGAGAATATGCTCTCTCAGAATACACAGAAGTGAAGACGGTCACCATTAAAGTGTCTCAGAAGACCTGCTGAACTATGGATGCACGGAGGTGAAAAACTCCGACACTGTGAATGTTGACACGTAAGACGGATTGAAGGGCACCTGCTAGAATTGGAAAGGGGGAAATTGCCAATTTTCCTTCCTTTAAAAAAGGAAAACAAACAATCCTTATTTTTTTTAAAAGCGGGTTTTCTTGAGCTGCTCCTTCTAACTCAAAATTAATCAACTGGTTTTCTGAAACAGATTTGATCTAATCAGCTGCAAGATTTTTCCTCCAGCCTGGTTATCTTCCCAGATGGGTTAGGACTTGATTTCCCATAAATCCTAGTCTTTGGCTGTAGTGCTGGGAACTCTGGGAACTGAAGTCCCAAAACATCTGGAAGAATTAGAAAAAGACGAAGAATGAAAGACCAACGTTGAAAGCATTTTCAGATAGCCAAACTCCAGTCAATCCAAAGAGATACCCAGGTTAGGGAATGGATTTGCAGATGGAGTCCTGAGGCCATTGGACATTTTTGCATTTCTTCACTTAGGACTGTTTTCCAAATCTCTCAGAAAATACTTTCATCGTGTGTTGAAGGCTAGATGAAGGAAATTTCTACTTGCAATTTTTCTCGCTTGTCTCTTAGTCTTAGTTCCACATTACTTAGGGTTGCATTTTTGCAATTTAGCAATTTGTCTCTATTTTGGGGATTTCTGACAAATATTTCACAAACGTGTTTTTTTGAAATGTTTCACGAATACAAATAAGGAAGGATCCCAGGTGCTGTTGTGAGCTTCTTGTCCATTGACTTTTCCCAAGTACTTGCACAGACATTTTTTTTTCTCCTTCTGGATGGTGTACAAAAGCATAATAAGACAGCTACAGTAATTGCCTCTCCCTTATTGCTTTTAATGGCCACTGTCTACAGTGCAATCTGGAATCGTTGGTTTATTTTTCTATAGATGCTCTTTTTGAAATAAATATATTCCTTGTTGTGATTTCAAGTTTTTTCAATGTCTTGTAATTATTGACGGTAACTGTATTTTATTATGGTTTTTGTACACACTGAATTTTTTTCTTTTTTCTTTTACTTTGGAAATTAAAATCTTAGGCACTATTGTAAAGTACAACCTTGTAGAGTCTTTATATTATTTCATTGCATGTTAGTGCTGTCTAGAAGTATCATCACTAAATGTTTAAATATAAATAAATAAATATATATATTTATAAATTAGAATGCAATTAATCTAATGTATTTTTATTGCTGATTGTACATGGAAATAATTTGCTTATTTTAAAAGTTATCTCTTGTAATAGTAGCACTACAGTTAATAAAATATAATTTTTACGATCCGACTTGCTCGTACTTGAGGGGAGATTCCATATACTGCAAAACGGATTTTTAAAAAATTTAAACAATAACAAACAATACAAACTAAACTCAGAAACAAAAAGAAAAAAAAATAGGAAGTATTGACATTGCCTAGTTCTCTTCAGGATAAAAGCAGGGAAGGGAGAGTCATTCAGATTTACAAGATTCTGTTACTCTATCTCTACAGGAAAAGTGGTAGTAGCTTTCATAACTTTAGTTTCCCGGTCTTATTCTATCGATATCACTCCTGCAAATCTGATTCTGCACTCTTGCAAGACTCTCAATGCAGCTGTGGTCAGTGGAGGGCTATATAAGAGGGAAAGGAAAGGAAAGGAAAGGGAGATGACAGAAAAAGAGAAAGAAAAAAGGAAAAGGAAACAAAAAAGAAAAGGGAAGGAAGGAAGGAAGGAAAAGAAAGGAAAGAAAAAGAGAAAGAAAGAGAAAAGGGAAGGAAGAAAAGAAAAAACAAAGGAAAGGAAAGAAAAAAAGAAAGAAAGAGAAAAGGGAAAGAAAGAGAAAGAAAGAAAAAGAAAGGAAGAAGAGACTGGACAGCCAGTTGTCTGAAATGGTATAGGGTCTCCTGCTTGAGCTGGAGGTTGGACCTCCAAGGTCTCTTCCAGCTCTATTCCCAGTTGGAGGGGGGGGGGAAGTGATATGGAAACTAGGAGCTTCAGCATGAACTTAGGTGTGCAGCAGGGGGACAGCTCAACTTGATCCCTTGCCTGTCTTAAGAATCAGAACTTGACATTTCAGTTGTTAAGCAGTTGCCAAGTTGATGAACATTCAAGGAGATTTCCAAAACTTCAGGCTACATTTTCCTGGGGCAACCATCCGCAGCAACTGGCAACTAACGTCAACAGCAGCAGTGTGGTAAATGACTTCATGCTGGAAGAAGTAATTGCAGTGGTGCATTTGATTTGCTCGCCACTCATCATAAAGCCCGCATCTACCATAGTTGTAACACTCTCCACAATTCTCACTTCTCTTGCTTTGATGGCAAACAATGCATTGCAAATAAGAACATGATTTATTCACGTTGACTGAAAGGATTTTAATGGATTTACATTGACACAACATAGTTATGCTTCCCTTCCCAGGAATTAAATTAATTTTTTTTGTAGTGTGTCCTTATTTGAGGTCTGCAAAGCCTCCCGTTTGAAGTCTGCAAATTTTCTTGAAATTATATTTACAAATAGATCTACTTGCAGAGTAGTAACACTATCCCAGTTTTGAAAAGTTGCTTACAAACTTCATCAGAGAGAGAGAGAGAGGGAGGGAGGGAGAGAGAGAGGGAGGGAGGGAGGGAGAGGGAGGGGGAGAGAGAGAGAGATTAAACAAGTTAAAGAAGCATGAATGAAGGTTGTAAGCAACTTTTCAACTTTACAAATATATAATATGTATGTATGTATGTATGTATGTATGTATGTATGTATGTATGGCATTCGGCTTTGTTCGGGTATTTTCCCACGTCATTGTAGTTGTTCTCTTAAAGTTGTAGCAACGTTTCAGCAGAATCTCATCTGCCATCATCAGGCTTCTGTATTGTGTCCGTCTGTGAGTCAGACTTTTACAGTGGTTTCAGATTTAAATTTGGGGCAGCCTATTGCTGTGCCAGAATGGTTTTTTCTGGCACAGCAATAGGCTGCCCCAAATTTAAATCTGAAGAAGAAAAAAACCATTCTGGCACAGCAATAGGCTGCCCCAAATTTAAATCTGAAGAAGAAAAAACAATTCTGGCACAGCAATAGGCTGCCCCAAATTTAAATCTGAAGAAGAAAAAACCATTCTGGCACAGCAATAGGCTGCCCCAAATTTAAATCTGAAACCACTGTAAAAGTCTGACTCACAGACGGACACAATACAGAAGTCCGATGATGGCAGATGAGATTCTGCTGAAACGTTGCTACAACTTTAAGAGAACAACTACAATGACGTGGGAAAATACCCGAACAAAGCCGAATGCCATACATGTAAGTACCCGCGAAAACTTAAGAAAACAAATATATGTATATGTATATGTATATGTATATGTATATGTATATGTATATGTATATGTATATGTATGTATGTTGTGGCTCCGATTCCCGAGCCTGTGCTGTTAGAGGAAGAGGACTTGGAAGATGAGGAGGAGGAATTGGTAATGCCTTCCTCCCCAGGACCTTCCTCTCTGGCAATGCCTTCCTCCCTGATAATGCCTCAGGTTTCATCAGACAACCGAGAGGAGCAGCCTGAGATTAATCAGGAGGAAGGCATATCGGAGCAGCCCCTGACAGGGAGTCAAGAGGAAGAATGTTGGCTTGATCCTAAGCAGCATCGTAGGGAGAAACCTGAGCAGCAACGTAGGAGGCGTGGGAGGGTCAGAGAATGAGTTGAGTCATTGAGCCACACCCCACAGGGGATAAAAGTGGGTGTGTCGGCTGGAACTTTGTACGGGACAAAGTTTGATCTTACTTCAGGTTTTCTTTGTGAATGATTCTTGTGGTCTGCCTTGTAATTTTCTGTAAGTAGCTTTTACTTGTTATCAGTTCACTTTCACAGCTGTTTCTGTTTTAAATTTGGAGCTTGCCTACTGCTGTGCCACAATGGTTTTTTCTTAATCCAAAACCCTAGCCACTATAGAAAACCCCAGCTACAGAATTATCAGAGAAGCCATAGAGATTGAAAAAAGACCTGAAAGCATGAATAGAAGAGATGATTCCACCAGACTGTCAATTATTTGGAAGCCTGCACTCATAAACAAAAAAATCTCCACACCACAAGCCAGGCAAACACCTGGGCACAAACAGATCCCCACTGATACCTCCAGCTCAAACACACCCCAACCAGGCACCCAGATGAAACCTGGCTTCCTAATAAATGATAGCCGTCCATTTACTCGGAGCCAAGCCGCACTAAAAGCCTCCAATACAGGAAACACAATGTTGCCAGCCAATCAAGACAAAAAAAGCCACAAAGCAGACAGAAGATATTAAAAACACCAATCAAGCAGAACACAGCAAATTCCAAGACCAGTAAACACAGATCAAGACTCCCAACCAATCAAGATGAAGAAAAAACCATTGTGGCACAGCAGTAGGCTAGCCCCAAATTTAAAACAGAAACGGCTGTGAAAGCCTGACTCACAGACGAACTCAATACAGAAGCCTGATGATGGCAGATGAGATTCTGCCGAAACACAACTATAATTACGTGGGAAAATACTCGAACAAAGCTGAATACCATACATGAAAACTTAAGAAAACACACACATATATATAAGGAAAACGAATCCTCCCTGGCTGGGGAAATCATATACATGTCAAATTCTTTCCTGGATTCTTAAATTTTAGAGGGGCATTTTTTTTTAATCTTATGAGTAGTCCTGGAGCAATCCTACTCTCTATTATATTTCCAGCTGTGCAGATTCTCCGAGAAGGAAGGAAGGAGGGAAGTAAATGAGTAAGCGACTAAACAAACAAACAAACAAACAAACAAACAAATAAATAAATGGCACTCGGGGGATGGAGAAATAAATGTTGCAAGAAGGATTCCTTCGCAAAACCAAGAAACAAACCCGAAGGCAGAGAGAGCGCGGGTGCTAAGAATTAACAGAAGAACGGAGTTGGGACCTTGGAGGTCTTCTAGTCCAACCCCTTGCTCAAGCAGGAAAGTCGGAAGTGATGCCAAGGGTCAAACCAGTGGATGGGAGGGAGAAAAGGATGGGACGGGGAGGGCGCTTGGTGGAAAACTTGACTGATGCGCGCGCGCTCCGGCTCCTCTCCCCGATCCAGCTGGCTTGCGCTGCCCGCGCCCGCCTTCCGCAGAAACTTCCACAGCTGCGCCCGCCCGTCCTCGCCTTGCGCCGCCCTAGAAGCCGGCCACTCAGACTCGCCTTGCCGAGCCGGAAGACCCCACCCCCGGCAGGGCAATCGAGGAAGTGGCGGGGCTGCTCAAGCAGGGAAGCTGAACGCGCCTCCTCCTCCTCCACCTCTTCCTCCGGGTTGGCTCCGTTTCCCCAGCGCGGAGGCGGGGACGGGCATCCCACCAGTGGGCGTCCCGCGCAGTCGGCCCTTTTCCAAGTCTCAAGACGTGGAGGGCGCGCCGAGTTTCTCCGCAAGCCTTGCCCAGATGGGAGGGCGCGGGGACCGAGACCCCGGTAAGTGCGCGCAAGGGTGGACACCTCGTGGTAACCAGCATGAACGATTGCGCTCGTTGGAGGCGTCTCTAACGACCGGTGGAGGAACCGAGCGCAGCCCCGAAGACTAAGAGGAAGGGGGAGGGGGAAATGAGCGCCGGGGGCGGGGGGGCGGGTGGTCCCGCGGGAACCTTCCAGATTCGCCGGACTCCAGCTTGTCACGATTCCACTGGCGTCTTGTGCATCTGACGGGACTCGGAGGCTGGCTTGCCCGTTGCCAAAAGTGGCAGCGAGACTCGGCCTCGGGGTGCTGTCCAACATTCGCAGCTTCGGGCAAGGCAGGTTTGGCCGTTGCCCCCGATCCAGAGGGCCACCCTGCAGCGAGAAGAGCCCGTTTCTGGATCTGCTGCTTATCGCTTGCTCGCACGGATCTTCCAAGTTGAAGATTCTGGGTGCCCTAAGGCAGGTTGAAGTCAGCTCTGCCCTCTGCCTAAACTTTTAGAGGACTTCAGTTTCTCTTCCTCTCCAACCTCGCTTCCACCACGCTTCCACCCTTTTGACGGCTGCCAATGGCACAGGTAGCGTCAGGTTTGAACACTTCGCCTACCTAAACCTCTCTCCAACGTGCTGACTTGACAGCCGCTCTTGCGATTGGAAAGTTCCACAGGGCGAACTCCGGACCTGTTGGGAAGCGCCCAGGGCTTCTGTTTTGGTTTTTTTTTAAATCTGTGATGTCGGGCATGCTTCAGAGGTGGTATTCAGCAGGTTTTGACCAGTTCTGGAGAACCGATAGTGGAAATTTTGAGTAGTTCAGAGAACCGGCAAATACCACCTCTGGCTGGCCCTGCCAACCCCATCTATTCTCTGCCTCCCAAGTCCCAGCTGATTGGCTGGGTCTTCTTCTTTGGTTGCCCTGCACAGGAGAACAGAGCTAGAAGGCAGGTTAGGGGGGTGGGGAGGGAATGGAGATTTTGCAGTATCCTTCCCCTGCCACGCCCACCAAGCCACACCCACAGAACCGGTAGTAAAAAAATTTGAATCCCATCACTGGCATGCTTGCCTGTTGATGGTACATCCGGGCTTGTAAATAGAGCAGACAAAGCACTTCCTTTCGATTTTCCCAGCAAGAAAAAAACCTTTAGGTTTGCAAGAGTTGCATTCTGAATGGCTATTAAAGGGATAGGGCAGAGAAAGAGAAGGTCTTTGGGAAGTCTTCAAAAATGGTAGAATGTCTTCGGGGAAACTTTTTTGAGCCTTGGATGAACATAGGTAAAGGTAAAGGTTCCCCTCGCACATACGTGCTACTCGTTTCCGGCTCTAGGGGGCAGTGCTCATCTCCGTTTCAAAGCTGAATAGCCGGCGCTGTCCGAAGACGTCTCCGTGGTCATGTGGCCGGCATGACTAAATGTCGAAGGTGCATGGAACGCTGTTACCTTCCCACCAAAGGGGTCCCTATTTTTCTACTTGCATTTTTACATGCTTTCGAACTGCTAGGTTGGCAGAAGCTGGGACAAGTAACGGGAGCTCACTCCATTACGCGGTGCTAGGGATTGGAACTGCCGAACTGCCGGCCTTTCTGATTGACAAGCTCGGCATCTTAGCCACTGAGCCACTGCGTCCCTTGGATGAACATAGAACATGGAATAAACAGAATTGGAAGGGACCTTGGAGGTCTTCTAGCCCAACCCTCTGCTCGAGCAGGAGACCTTCTAGCCCCAACCCAACACGGAGAGGAGGAAGGGGTCAAGCAATTTTCTAAACCACCTGTAGGCCAGACAAGGAATAATGGATGGAAACTGATCAAGGAGAGATTCAACCTGGAAATAAGGAGAAATTTTCTGACAGGGAGAAATATCAACCAACGGAACAGAAGTTGCCTGTGGGAGCTTCATCACTGGAGGCTTTCAAGAAGAGACTGGATTGCCATCTGCCAGGAAGGGTGTAGGGTCTCCTGCTTGGGCGGGGGGTTGCACTAGATGACCTACAAGGTCCCTTCCAACTCTGTTATCAGATAGATAATCTGACTGGTTCCGTGGACCAGAGGGGGCATGGTTTCATGGGCTGCCTGCATCCCATGGATGGGCCTTCGCTTGTTTTCATGGCCTGGTTTCTGACATGCCATGGTCCAGTGCCAGTTCCCAGCCCAGAAACCTTGTTTCATTGCTTAAAATTCCAGGGTTTCAGGATTTCCCAGCAGATTTGTAACTGCAAGTTCCTTCTTGATACGCCATGTTTCTTTGTTTAAGGAGCTGCTTCAGGGATAGGTAGCTGTATATAAATGCACATCTAATTCTAAAATAGTACGGTCCAGGAAGTTGTATTTTTGCATGTTCAAAAATAATTTGAAATATTGGTGTTTTCGCTTATTGTGTTTTACATATTTCCATTACGTATTTCAGTTGTAAGGCAAATCATTGTTATTCCTCCTCTTTGCAAGATTTTGGTGTCAAATAATGCCTGCATTTTTAAAGTATCGTATTAGCTATCCTACTGTTGTGCATTGCAGAATAGGCTCAGAACAAATGAAGCAGCATAACAGAGTTGGAAGAGACCTTGGAGGTCATCTAGTCCAACCCACTGCTCGAGCAGGAGACCTTCTACCGTTCCAGAAAAATGGCTGTCCAATCTCTTCTTAAAAGCCTCCTGTGATGGCGCACTCTGAAGGGAAGCTGTTCCACTGGTTAATTGTTCTGTCAGGAAATTTCTCCTATGTTGCTTCTCTCTTTGATTAGTTTCCATCTATTGTTTCCTTGTCAGTTCCTGCAAATTGCAATACCTGCAAAGTTGAATTGCAGGAAAATATTACTTTGGACTTTCTTCAAAGCAGATCATTTTGAAGATCAAAGAAAACTCCCAAGAAACCCTGGCTGTATTCTATAAAATAGTTTGCTAGAAGGAAAAAAACAACACTCTGTTATAAACATATCCAGTGTTTTCACTCTGGGGATGAAAGGGTGTTTTGTGCACAATGATATATTTTGTCTTCCCGTAAGATAGTAAACTCATTTCTGAGCCAATCCCTTCAAGGCAAAGCTTAGGTTGTGACTGCAAAGAAGAAGCCGACCAATCAGAAAGAAGAGGGAAGTTCCCGGCATTGGCCTATTTGGAGGAACTGAGTTTTTAGAAGTATGTCTTTTTTTTAATACAAAGAGAGCAAGAAGTAAAAGCAAAACAATTTAACTCAAACACAATCCAGGGAGCTTGTCCAGAGTGTCGGCTGAAAAACCAAGACCTGATGGAAAGCAAGCTAGAACTTTAAAAAGGAAGAATCTAGTAGTAAAAGAAAGTAAGTATTTGGTGTTGTAACTTTGATCTAGACTAGTCAAGCTGGAAACAAATTCTATCTTTAGCTGCTGTCAAAGAATAAAGGTGGGTTTTTTCCCTTCCAGAATAGTTGAAACAAAGATTTCTTTCATAATACAAAATACCGTTTATGTACTTTTGTCCTCTTGTAACTCTGCCTTGACTTTTGATCACGTTAAATGGCACCCCCTATCAGGGGTGGGATTCAAATTTTTTTAGTACCGGTTCTGTTGTCATGGCTTGGTGGGCATGGTGTGGCTTGGTAGGCGTGGCAGGGGAAGGTTACTGCAAAATCCCATTCCCTCCCCACCCCACTAACCTGCTTTCCAGCTCCGTTCTCCCGTGCAGGGCAACAAAAGAAGACCCAGCCGATCAGCTGGGACTCAGGAGGCAGAGAATAGATGGGGGTGGGGCCAGTCGCAAGTGGGATTTGCCGGTTTTCCGAACTGCTCAAAATTTCTGCTACCAGTTCTTCAGAACTGGTCGAAACCTGCTGAATACCACTTCTGCCCCTTATCAGAGCTAAGGGGCACAATGGCTTGGTGGTTAAAGATGCTGAGCTTGTCAGATGGAGAGCTGAAAGCTTGGGTTCAAGACCCAAGCCCCACATAATGGGATGAGCTCCCATTCTTTGCAGCAGCTCCTGCTCACCTAGCAGTCTGAAAGCAGGCAAATGTGAGTAGATAAATAGGTACCACTTTGGTGGGAAGGTTACACTGTTCTGTGTACCTTTGGTATATAGTCATGCTGGCCACATGACCATGGAAGCATCTTCCATCTTCCAAGAAACAGAGATGAACACCATGCCCTAGAATTGGGGAACTGGCAAGGCACTGGCAGGGAAACCTTTACCTTTACCTTTTCAAAGCTACAGTTGGACTTTGAGAAGGATTGAATATTTGCCTAAAAATTCTCTCTCCCACTTCCAGACTGTACCACCCATTGATTGAACCATCGCTGAGTCACAGATATTAAAGTTATAGTTCAACTCATGACTGAATGTATAAATGAGATAAAGAACAGGTAGATATTTTATGTAGGGCTGTACATTTATGAACTGACTGCTTTTTTCAAACTTGACACCACATGGTTGCTGAGATCATAATTCAGCCTTTTGTAACTTTGACAAACAGAACTTGGGGCTGGTAAAAATTCTCCTAGTCTGGGAAATGTATAGGGGGAAACCTGGATGTAATCTCACCTGTAAATTACATTCACTAAGTTTATTATTTTGCACGGCGTAACAGAATACAGCATTAGTACATACAAATTCAGAAAAACAGCATGTAAACTGTGCAGTATAAAATAGCAGAAGAGTGATGCCAAGCCCGAAATTGAATTATTTCAAAGAGTATAAATGATTAATGAAATTACAAACAGAATTAAATTATGTATTAGTCTAATTATGTAGAATGACTGAACCTATGGCTGAATCTCTAGATAATTTAGCCATTGGGCAGCACTACCTTCAAGATTATGTATTTCATGTAGGAAGCCCAGCTGGCTTTTAAAAAAAGACAACAGCAGATTTTGTGGCTGTAATATTGCAACTGCATTTTCTCAAATCCTCTTTTGTCCAATAAAAAAATGAAAAGTTGTTTTGTGACTTACTGATTGCTCTTATTAACCATGGTATCCAAGGTTGATTGCAGTCCTAGGCTGGATTAACAGAGGGATAGAATCAAGATCATGTGAAGCGTTGATACCACTTTATAATGCCTTGCTAAGACCCCACTTGGAATATTGCATCCAGTTTTGGTCACCACAATGTAACAAAGATATTGAGACTCTATAAAGAGTGCAAGGAAGAGCAACAAAGAGGATTAGGGGACTGGAGGCTAAAACACATAAAGAACGGTTGCTGGAATTGGATATGTCTAGTAGTTTAATGAAAAGAAGGACTAGGGTTGACATGATAGCAGTGTTCCAATATCTCAGGGGCTGCCACAGAGAAGGGATCAACCTATTCTCTAAAGCACCTGAAGGCAGGACAAGAAGCAACAGATGGAAAGTATTCAAAGAGAGAAGCAACCTAGAACTAAGGAGAACTTTCCTGACAAAACAATTAATCAGTGGAACAACTTGCCTCCAGAAGTTGTGAATGCTCCAACACTGAAAGTTTTTAAGAAGAGATTGGACAACCATTTGTCTGAAATGGTATCGGGTTTTTTGCTTGAGCAGGAGGTTAAACTAGAAGACCTCCAAGGTTATTCTTTTTCTATGGATTGATTCAATTATGCTTTAATCATGTATTGTTTTGGGTGGAGACTCTTGAATTCAAGAACAGGCTACAGGGAATGCATTGTGAGGAAGAGCTAATTATTTATAGGTAGATAATAGCTAGAATTTCTGTCCTAGCAATTGAGAACTAGGGTAGCTTTTCTATCTCATGAATTGTCAATCCAGTGATGACGATGTATTATATTTATATCCAGTCTTTTCTGTTCTATTTTAAGGCTTTTATGGGGCTGACTCTTAATTTTATCATGTGGAAGGTCTGGAGGCCACCAGGTGTAGCCTTGCTGGTTCCCAAAATCCAGGGCTGATGGCCATGATCCACATATAACATGGGTGGGAGCAGGGTTGGGCTGCTGGGGGTTTGCAGGGGTTTGGAAGAGCCCCTAGCTGAGATTCTGCGCAGTTCAGAGAACCCCCAAATCCCACTCCTGGCTGGCCCCACCCACCCCACCCCTCCCAGAAGTCCCCATGGGGCCCATTTTGGATGTAGGTAAGTGCAGGATGCGTATGGAGGCTCGGGGAGGGCAAAAAATGGGCCTGTTTCCAGCTTCCAGAGAGCCTCCGGAGCCTGGGGAGGCCGTTTTCACCCTCTCAGAGGCTCAGGGAAAGCCTCCGGAGCCCGAGGAGGACAAACCCTCCCCCCCACTGTGGTGCAGGAGGCCAACTTGGCCATACCCATTACGGCCATGTCCACTCAGCAACTGAGCAGAGAACCCTTTGCTAAAAATTTTTGAAGCCCAGCCCTGGGTGGGAGGATCACAGTGCAATGTAGATCAGATCAGGCTTTCTGGTTCTCCCTCCTGGTTCTTCCTCCTGAATTGAAGGGAGAGAGCTTAAAGGGGGTTTTCTCTGTATTCTGAACTTATGTATACTGACCTCACTTAAGGCTTACATGAATACTTTGTGACCATTTTGGTTCTCCAAATGGCAGGAAACTGCCATCAGTGTTGAGCTATTGTGGTTAGAGGTTCTTTGGGAGCCCCTGACAAATAATTTGAGAGCCACAGATCATTCCTGTTAACCAAAACCAAAACAACAACACAACAAAAACGATCTGGATTACCAGACATATCATCTTATAGTGGTCCTGCAGGGAATAATGTTGAGTCCTTTTTTAAGGTTGGCATTTGGTGCTTCTTCCCTACAGAAGTTCATGGCCTGGCCAGGCTGTTTGAAAGAACATGAGCTACTGCCTAACCTTTGAGCCTCTAAGCAATTGCTCTTTTGTTTGATGAAGTGTGGCTGGCATTTGCATAATGAAAGGGGAAGTGCAGAAGCGGAGCTCTTGCAAGGGGTGGCAAAGATTGGGCATTTTATTGGTTATCTGCAAAAATGTGTGATGACTTGGGGCGTGACACAAAAATAACCAAATCACAAAAATAGAAGAAAGTCCCTTTAATGCCTCCAACTTGGCCCCAATGTCCAGTTATCCTCGGCTGGACATCAAACTCTTAAAGAAAACAGTTTACGGAGGGAGTAAACGCAGTCCACACCCAAAGTAAAGTTAATTTGAAATAAAAAACCAAACACACCACACTGAAGGAATTACTATGGCAGGCACAGATGATTGCAGCAACCACAGTTGGCAGGAAGCCAAAACACAGATAAGCTCCGACAAGTTTGCACGCTTTTCTTACAGCAACTTTGCCATGTGCAGTTTGTCCTTTTAAACAGTCCTCTCAGCTGCAGCCCATGAAGGGGATCAGGGCCCCTTTCTCCCCCATAGACCACGCCACTCATGTTTCTCCCTTATCCGCTCCTCCCTGTGTGCCCTAGGATGAAGAGGGGATGGGCCTCGGTCTTCCTCTGAATGTCCATCCAGCCTGTGCCCTTCCCCAGTTTCCTCCACAACCACTGGAGCCACACTCCCACCCCCTGTCAGCTGTTCCATCTCTCCCTTGGAGTCAGACTCCAACAGGGGCATGACAAATGAATCCCTCAGGCCAGTGATCCCCAACCTTTTTTATGCCGCGGCCCGGTATCCCCAACCTTTTTAATGGCGCGGCCCGGTACCGACATCAGCTGGGCGCCGCCATCTTGTTTTGATGAAAAAGTGCTTCCGGTGAGCTT